TGCTTTTGTTAGTTCCCCTTATCCAGTTGTTATAACATTGGAAGACCATCTTACACCAGAATTGCAAGCTAAAGCTGCTGAGGTTAGTTCTTCATTTGTCTTGTTTTCCCTTTCGAGTTTCTTTTTCCTCCACAATGATTGGAAATAATTTCGAAAATCTTGTAGATGATCAATCAAACATTTGAAAGTCTATTGAACTATCCGGACACAGATTGCTTAACCGAGTTCCCTTCACCGGAATCGTTGAAATACCGAATCATGATTTCGACAAAACCACCTAAAGAATATCTAGATTCTCGGTCGAAAGACTCCGACGAAGAGAATTCCCCAAGGGAAACAAATGACTCAGAAGGGGGTAAGCAGAAAATTACTATGTTGTTGGGATTCCAGTTTGAGTATTTGGCATGGCTACAAGTGACACAAGATTGTTCATTTTTTTTCAAAGTTTTCCCTTGGGATGGCAATAGACACTATGAATTCGGATGTTTTCAGATATCTGAGCTTCTTTTTGGATTTAGATATTATGGATTCGGATATTTGCAGAGTGAAAGCGAGGAAGAAGATGAAGACATCAAATCAGTCCAAGCCGGGGTAGTCAAGTACAAACGCCTAATAACTATCAGTGCAGGAAAGCCAAGGGGTGGCTTAAAAGAAGCATTAAAAGTTGATCCTGATAAGGTTCAACGTCTTAGTATAAGCGAACAGCAGCTCGAAAAGGCTGCCGGATCTCTTGGACTTCATGTTGTAAGGTACCCTTCAAATTCTATGCATTTCTTTTTCTTTATTTTCGTTGAAATATCCTTATCTTACACATTTTCGGATGAGTACGGAGATATAATTCTTCAAATGCATTATTTTTAAGTTATACATATTTGTGTTAATGCATATTCATATCCGACACTCTATTCGACTCCTAGTAACATGTTTTTTCAGGTTTACGCAGAAAAATATCCTGCGAATCTATCCGAAGGGTACTCGTTTTACCTCGTCAAATTACAAACCAACCATCGGATGGATGCATGGAGCTCAATGGTTGCATTTAACATTCAGGTTAGCCTTTCGAGTGATATATCTTCGTATTCATGTTTGAATATGTGTTGGATAAGTACATTTAATCCAAGTATTTTCGAGTTAAAGTAAGTTAATCTGGATCACGGAGCCTAGTAAATAATGTATCTAATAACTGCATATGATGTCCTTTTATCAGGGATACGGAAAACATCTGTGGGTGATGCATGGCATGTTTAGAGCCAATGGAGGATGTGGATATGTGATGAAACCTGAGTATTTGACTCGATCATCTGATCAGTTAATTGACCCCAAAGCAACTTTTCCAGTGAAAAAAATGTTAAAGGTGAAAAAATATGCTCCTAATTCGAGCTTCATGTGTCGGATATAGTATGTGTCTAATACGACTATGTTTATAATTTTCTTTTATATAATGCATTTAAAAGATTATGTCTTCGTACTTATATCTGAATTCATGTTGGACATTGATATCAGTTTTAAGTGAACGAAGAATCGAAATAACGTAGAAAAATATTTTGCAATTCAACAGGTGAAAATATATATGGGGGATGGATGGCGAATGGACTTTAGCCACACACATTTTGACACATACTCTCCTCCAGACTTCTACACAAAGGTTTGACAATAATTTTGTTCAAATTAGCGTGTCTCGGATATGAATACGTGTCTTTTATAAATATGTTATTTTTAATATTTTCATGTGAAGGATTCTTTGCTCATTGACAATGGCAGATATACATTGCGGGAGTGCCAGCAGATGAAGCTAAAAGGAAAACAAAGGTCATTGAAGATGATTGGATTCCGGTATGGGATGAAGAATTCACATTTCCGTTGACCGTTCCAGAATTGGCACTGCTCCGGATCGAAGTACGGGAATACGACTTGCACGAGAAAGACGATTTCGGTGGCCAAACATGTTTGCCGATACCGGAGCTAAAGACCGGGATCCGGTCCGTCCCACTGCATGATAGGAAGGGAGTGAAATATGAAAATGTAAGGCTCCTAATGTTCTTTGAGTTCGAAGAAATAGTGTAGAATTACCAATCCACCACGATCAATTCATTACTTGTTTAACCCTTTGCGTTGCACCACAATGAGATTAATGCATATGTATGTATGCTTGTATATATATGTATGTATGTAAAAGCTATTGTAATCAGATGAGAAAAGTTATGAAATGTCCCACGTTCCTTTTTAAGCAAAATAAGAAATTTCACACTTCATTACAAATTTTTTTATACACAATTTGTTTAAAATTTAAACTCCACAATCTTATTTATTATTTAAAATTTTAAAATTAAAATTTAGTCGCACCCCGTCATCCAAGATCACATGCCATTACACGTGGTTCCAAATTCCATTCACATAATCATTTTTTCTTTCTTTCAAAGATTATTCAAAGTTTTTAATTCCTTTGTCTTGCTTCCCCAAGAAGTAGTTGTGAAGTGGTCCAACATAATCAAGAAGTAAATGTGAAGTGGTCCAACATAATCAATACGATTTCCAAAATGTAAATTACCAATTTACCTTTTCAATCATTATTTTTAAGAGCCATTAATGATTTAATTAATAACATTAAACCAACTCCAAAGCTGTCCAGCTAGTCCAGTTCATGAAACATCCAAAATGTTCTTTGATAAAACAACAAGAAAATAACATATCTAAAAGAAGTAAAGAACCACATAATAAGTATATATATTGTACAAGTATAATAAAAATATTTAATTCTCTCGTTCCTTATTATATCTTTACACTTTTAAAAAGACATAATAATGAAAAGGATAAAGTATACAATCGTTTATAGAGTATTATTTTGTTGAGTTCTTCAATTATTAAATATTACAAAATGATCCTTCGATTATAGGTGTTGTTTTGTTGAATCTCTCAACTATTAAAAGTTACAAAATAATCAACTTACTATTCATATATTTCAAACTTATCATTTTCCTTTAAAAAATTGACAATCGTTTGAGCTGGACGTTAACCAGCTGACCGTGATATGATAAAATCATATTTTAATAAAGTATATTGGCATTGTCATTGCTTTTAAGCACTAACTTGACAACATTATGTAAATGGAGAATCGATCCACAAAATACAGCTCAACTGGTTCTGGGATTAAATTTTATCATATCTAGTCAACAAATTAATATTCAGCTCATACATCTGTCAAATTTTTAACTGAAAATGACAAGTTTAGAATATATGAATAGTCATGTGACCATTTTGTAACTTTTAATAGTCAAGGGACTCGATAAAGTAGTGTCCTATTGTTGGGGGATTATTTTATAATTTAATTAGTTGATGGACTAAACAAAACAACGTCATATAACTGAATGACTATTTATGTACTTTGCCCTAATAAAAATTTTCAATATTTTATTAATATTCATTTTTACCCATATATGTTTTCTATAATCTCAATCTTAATTTTGCAAAAAAAAAATGCTTATTTTGATTAAAATAATTTAAGTATTTAAAGTAAAATAAAATTTAAATATTTTTATTTTACTTTTAAGTTAATTTTGTTAACATTGGGTTTGAGGTTGAAAATACTTTAAAATATATAAAAATAATAATAATATTAAAAACTAATTTTACTATTATATATTTTAAAAAGAGGGAAAAAAGGTAATTCAGTTACCGGCCTATAACAATGGCATTGGACATAATCATCCATTAAAACATTTCAAAAGAATTTTTTCTTTAAAAAAAACAAAACAAAGTATACTTTTTGAACAAATAATGCACATCTACAGCCCTCATTGAAATTGACAATATAAATAAATAAATAAATATAATAATGAACTATTATAGGTATAATTGGGTTTTAATGCTCTATTATACTGAAAATTGAGATTTAATCTTTTGATTTTAATTTGACATAATTTAGTTATTCACTTTTATGATGTTATTTGTATTAAATTATAGTATTATTAATTTGTATCGTTAAAGTAATAATAAAAGAATTTCACATCATCCCTTTAACTACAACAATTATTATCAATTTGAACATACTAGTAGTATTATATAAATAAAAAATCAAATAATGTCAAATTAAAATAAATAATTAAAGCTCAAATTTTAGCACAATAAGGGGGTTTACAGAATTATTATTATATAAATAAAAATTAGGGTAAATATATATTTATATATCTAAATTTGATTTTAATGTTTAATTTGATAATTAATTTTTTTTTTCTTTTCAATCGGGTACCTTAATTTAGCTTTAAAGTTCAATTTAATATTTTTTTATCCAATTAGATAATTGAATTTGACTTATTAGTGTAATTAAGTATCTAAACTTGGGAATTCCATCCATACGCCCACTTTGTTCTTTTATTTTTGTGAATGTGTCATTCATCCTTCAAGTTTTGTCAACTCAACAATTTAGTTATTGTCATCGTCAAATCTTTAATCGAGTCAACATGTGATGTCCTAAAATCTGGAGGTAAATTAAAATAAGCACTCTACGTCATTCATGCACGATCTTTTAACAATATCCTCTCCCTCTAAGGCGCTCCTCGAGACTCAATAGAGGGTGGGGAAAATAAAATCTTGAACATTCCACATAGTGTTGTCCCAAGAATACAATATCTGATTGTTGGAGGTTTCGACCGACCGTTCAATTAGAATATATCTCAAACAGATATCAAGACCAAATTCAAATATCTAATTAGATCAAAGAAAATTTTAACCTTTAAACTAAGTTCAAGTACCAAAATATATATTTACCCAAAATTTTATAGAATTGTCACATTGACCTTATGATAGATACAAATAGTCTACTAGATTAGACGATCAAATACGACAGGATCATGATGAAATCTTACCAGAATATCCATCGCGATGCCAACTGTCCGACGGGGTCTACGAGTCTTAATGGGACCCACATTCATATATGGGTCCCGCAATCATCCATCCTACTTTTTCCCGGGGAAAAAGTAGAGATGAAACGATGATAAATTCCCCATATTTATATTTTTTGATTTTGGTTTTATTGAATCAGATTTCTGGGAATTGTAGCAGAAACCCAAATGTCCAAACAAACTTACAGGGTCTGCTTTTGCTTCCGGCGGAGGTTCAGGCTCACAGTTTCAGAGGCACCCGAGGAGATCAAGAGAGTGTTCGAACGGTACTCCGAGAATGGATTAATGTCCACCGATGGACTTCAAAGGTTCTTAGTTGAAGTCCAGAAAGAAGATAAGGCAACCAGAGAAGATGCTCAGAAGATTATTGACAGTGTTAAGCATTTTCATAGAAAGGGTTTAAATCTTGAAGCTTTTTTCAAGTATCTCTTTGATGATATCAATCCTCCTCTTGCTTCTCTGGGGTAATCAAAACTTTTCCCATCTCTTTTTGATTTGTGTTTACTTGTAGATGATTTATGTTTTGTTTGGTTGCTAGGAAAATTTTATAGAAAGGGTGTAAAGCAGGAAGTTTTTTAGGATTGGTTTAAAGTTAGATGGTTTATGTTTTTGTTTGGTTGCTGGGAAAAATTGGCTTAACTTAAATTAGGAACTTTTCTTGTTATCCTTCTACTTTTGAGTAGGACTTAATCTAGCTGACCTCAAGATGTATATGATCTCGAGTTTGACTCGAAATTTTAGGCTAGAAGCTCGGATCGAGTTCGATCTAGTTTTACTCTAAAACCTCGAATTTGATTCAAGCTAAAAATCAAGCTGAATGAGTTAGCTAGATTATGCTCGATAGCTCGCATGCTTCTGTTTGGTTTATGGGAAAATTTTGGGAGAAAAATAGAAGTTTTTGACACATGTTTGTGTTTTGTTCCTATTTGGGTATTACTTTTGGGAGGAAAATCTGATATCTTTGTATGGGATTTAAATGAAACTAACACTAAGTTTCATCTCAGTAATTACTGTATATTGGCTGAATTGTGTTGTTGGGTTCATAGCTTTGATGATTGCCCCGTGATGATGCCGATGTCTTGGAAAATTCTTAACTCCAAGCTAAAATAAAATATTCGATCAGACTTTTGAACTTGTCTATTCGATTTGTGTTTCTCTTTGAATTTGTTGTTGATGTCGTTTTCGTTTCTTTGTTTTCAGGTCCACCATGATATGAATGCTCCTTTGTCTCATTATTTCATACATACCGGTCATAATTCCTATCTTACCGGGAATCAACTCAGTAGCGACTGCAGCGATGTCCCCATCATAAATGCACTTAAGAGAGGCGTGAGAGTGATAGAGTTGGATATATGGCCGAATTCCACGAAAAATAATGTCGATGTTCTTCATGGAAGGTACGTAACTCTTGATCCGCAAATCGTTCCCCTTCTAAACTGTTAACATGAATTGGATAGTCCATTGTACGAAATGACGATAAACGTTTAACCGAAAGTCATAACATCATGTAGAACTCTGACTACTCCGGTGGAACTCATCAAGTGTCTGAGGTCTATTAAGGAATACGCTTTTGTTGCATCGGAATACCCGGTTGTTATAACTCTAGAAGATCATCTTACTCCGGATCTTCAGGGTAAAGTTGCCGAGGTGTGAGTCTCTTGGTGCTTATGATGGGATTTGAAATGGCTAATGTTCCCATAAACTTACGTTTCTGTGGTTGATTTCTAGATGGTAACTGAAACATTCGGAGACATCCTGTTTTCGCCTGGCTCGGAATGCTTAAAAGAATTCCCGTCTCCGGAATCATTGAAGAAGCGGATAATCATATCTACAAAACCACCAAAGGAATACCTTGAGGCCAAAGAAGTTAAGGATAAAGAGAATGAGTCGGAGAAGGGTAAGGTCCGTGATGAAGAAACTTGGGGAAAAGAAGTTCCAGACCTTAACGAAGCAGAATACAAGGTCTCTGGTGTTCCCGAGTGTGGTTCATTACTTCAAATCTAGTTTACTAGCTGTAACTGTAAAATTTACAGTTCACTTATTGTTTTATCTCATATGACAGGACGACTTGGATGAAGTAGATGAGGAAGATACCGATGATGGAGATAAATCGCAGCATGCTTTAGCACCAGAATACAAACGCTTAATCGCTATTCATGCCGGGAAGCCAAAGGGCGGATTAGAGGAATGTCTAAGGGTGGATCCCGATAAGGTTAGACGTCTTAGCATGAGTGAGCAACAACTTGAAAAGGCTGCAGTTACTCATGGAAAAGAAATTGTCAGGTAATTCATAAAAGATTTGGCAAATTCTATTTACGAGAAAGTATCCTTCGTCATTAGATAAAGCTACGAATTTCTTTTCTGATGTTTCAACTGCTACAGATTTACGCAGCGGAATATTCTTAGGGTATATCCGAAGGGTACGCGCGTCGACTCTTCCAATTACAACCCATTAATCGGATGGATGCATGGCGCTCAAATGGTCGCATTTAATATGCAGGTTTATACACATTCCCCTCGCTTCTATTCATTTGTGATCATTTTAAGCATAGCTGAGCAAAACTCGGGTTTTTCCTTGTGAGGAAGTGATTGCTTGTAGTGCACGATGTGTGCATACAAGTTTGTTGTGCAGATAACGAGAAATCAATAGCACACCATTCGTTATCCTAGACTGATTATAGGATTCGTTCTTGATTCTACAATCGGATTTCATCGTCGCGTAATAGATTCTTATATTTCCTTATCGGTTTGTGATAGGGTTATGGAAGATCATTGTGGTTGATGCATGGAATGTTTAAGGCCAACGGCGGATGTGGATACTTGAAAAAACCCGAGTTCCTATTGAACCCTAATGACGTCTTTGATCCGCGAGTCAAGTTAGCGGTGAAGAAAATTTTGAAGGTTAGTGTTTTTTATGGCCATGGGATTCGAGTTCTTCGGTTTTCTTAACCTGAAGTGCTGATTTCTTGATTTGGTATATTGGTTTCTGAAGGTAACTGTTTACATGGGGGAAGGCTGGTATTATGATTTTCATCACACTCATTTCGACGCTTATTCGCCTCCGGACTTTTATGCAAGGGTAAGTCGATAAACCTACATATCCGACAATATCTCTGATAGAACCCGATCCGTGTTAAAAGTAAAGATCTTCATCTCGAAATTTTGATTAATCCGTATCCAGGTGGGGATTGCCGGAGTTCCGGTAGATTCGGTGATGAAGAAAACCAAGGCATTAGAGGACAATTGGGTGCCTTCTTGGAACGAGGAATTTGAATTCCCTCTAACTGTCCCGGAACTAGCTATACTCCGTATCGAAGTGCACGAATACGACATGTCCGAAAAGGATGACTTTGGAGGCCAAACATGCCTACCGATTTCGGAGCTAAGAAGTGGTATCCGAGCTGTTTCACTTAACAGCCGCAAAGGTGAGAAATACAACTCCGTGAAGCTCCTCATGCGCTTCGAATTCGTCAATCCGTAGTCACTTAAAGGCGAATACCAGTCCATATTTCTGTACCAACCTTCAATTTGTTTGATGGCATTGTGAGCTTGTGTGCAGTTTACTTTATCTACCACATGTTGCACGTGTATACTTGCGTCTTTCCGAGTCCGTGGAGTAGAATACGAGTGTAAGATATAGACATGTTTCTGACACGAATGCGTTTATTTTCCTGTATTGCTTGTATGATTGCTGTGTCTAATTTGTAATCTTAGATATAATACAAAGACTTATATATATTTAGGATACTTTAGTATCTAAACTATCAATTTTATTTTGTTTTAGTATCTAAACTTTTATTTGTTTTAGAATTATTGTTTCATTTTAGTATCTATCATTAAAAACTTAATAGAATTGTTGCACTTGTCATTTTTATGGGTAAATTACATCATTCATCACTTAACTATCTTCTTGCTCTATTTTGGTTAAGTTTTAATTTTTTTAATTTAACTACTCAGTTTTCAAATTATTCATGTTTTAATCACTTTAATTTATTTTATTAATAATTTTGTAACATGACATTTTTATTATTATTTTATTAGTATATAATTAAAATAAAAAAATAAATTTGAAAGTTTGAGTGATTAAATTAATAGTAATTTGAAAGTTAAGTAATTAAATTAAAAAATAAACTTAAATGACTAGAATAGAAGTGAGAAGATAGTTGAGTGACAAATGATATAATTTACCCATAAAAAGTGTCATAATGTAACAGTTCTGCTAAATTTTTAATAGTGAGATACTATAACAAAATAAAAAGTAAACGTTAGATATGATTTTGAAATAAATGAAAATTTAGGTATTAAAATGAAACAAAAATGATAGCTTAGATGTTAAAAGTGTAGTTTATCTGAATTCTTATTTATAGTTTTCAGTTTTTTTAAGTTTTAATAGTATATTTTGATGCTCGATTGGAATTAACTCGTATATCAAATTTATTTATCTGAATTTATTATCCATATAAATAAAATAAATTTAAATATATAATATTATCTGAAATCAAATATCTAACTTTATTGTGATAATTGATTTATTGTCCGAAAATAAAATTTTTCTGTAATATTTAAATCTGTAAAATATAATTAATTAAGATCTGGTATTTAACTGAGATGGGAATTCTTTTTTCTTGTGAGGTATTTAATTTTGGAGTTATCTGAGTAGTCGTTATGTGATGGGATTCGAAAACGCTTCGATTTTGAAGCTGAATTTCCCTTAATTGTGTCCCGTGTTTTCTTATAGAGACTGAGTTAAGCAATGATTCAGAGTTTTGCTTTCTATGGGCTCTAGAATTTGTGATTTTGAATGCAGCTTTTGGATCCTCTTTTTAGTATTTTAATTTGTTGTTGTTCAGACAAGGAGAACCTGTGTCTTTACTGACATCCGAATGAGGCATGGGAGGTAGCTTTACCGGCCGAGGAAGTTCCACCTGACCTGAGCTCCCTGAGCCGGCATTGGGCATAAATTTTGCAAGAGATGGGATAAACGGTAAAGACTGGCTTTCGCTGGTTGCGGTGCATAGTGATTGTTGGTTGCTCTCGGTGGCTTTCTACTTTGGAGCTCGACTTAATCGGAATGAGAGGTACAATATTATGACATCTCTCTTTTCTTCACATGTACCCTAGATTTTACAGGTGTTCATCGAAATTGTCTTTATGATCGTCTCTTCCCTAAAAGGTTATGTCTTATTGGGAATGATATATGAATGCCCATGACTTGATCTAAAACAAAAAAAAAGGAGAAAAAAACAAGAAAGGAGGCTGATTGAGCAGAGTCTGAAATTCAATAAACTCTTGGTATACTGATGTGGATGTTGGAATGCTTGACTATGTTACTCAAACTTGGGTGTAAATACTGATGTGAACGGTGGTACAACTGTCCTTCGTGTCAAAACAAGGTATGGCAATAGCCGTCAATGGAGGGGTTAACCCTGATCGATTTATTCGATTTATTCACTGATGTTGTTGTAAAGCAGCCATGGCGAACGAATGCACAATTCTGTTGTTACTGCCTACTGGTCTCTCATTCCTTGGATCGCAAGTCGAACACATTGGTTCTTTAGGTATGTTAATAATGAGTAGTGGCATACAAATGGATGAGGCATAGGCTTTATAATCATGTTCGATTTTCTTGTTTCAGAATCGAGTGGGATATTTAGTTGCTCCAAGTTCGAATGGCTGATCCAATACCAATACCCGATCGACTAGGTTTTATGTACAACAGAGGCATCTATCATGTATGGTTAAATACCTTTTTCTTTTCCCCTAATGAAATTTCCCATTTCCTTTCAGTAATTTGGTTTTGTTTTCTGCATTTGAAGTTGGTACAGGCCATAGAATACTTAGAAGAGTTACGTAAATTAAGATTCAAACTTTAAATTTATTTTTGAAAGAGTAATTAAGGAACTAACTTGATTAGGCGGCGATAATCTTTTTCTTTTCAGTACAAAATAGTCATGGTCTAGAGATCGATCGGAGAAAGAGTTATATATATATATATTAAGATTCGAAATTTAATTTAATTTTACTTAAGTGTGTCGACCAAAATCATAGTTTTTGATTTAATTTAATTTTAGTTTTGTTTGATATTGAGGGACTCCGGTGGTTAAAAGAAGTATTGTTCTTCTTTTAAGTTCTAGATTCGAATAGTTGTATCTGTAAGGTATGTATACGTCTTAGGAGTTAAAAAATTATGAGTAAATATTACATTACAATCAAGAAAAATATAAGTTAAAGTTTTAATTTTTTAAATTCAATTCAATTTTATTTATTTTGTATTTAGATCATTAAAATATAACACTAAAACATAAGTCTGTCCATGGGCCTGCTGGACCATCCCATACCAAATTTGGTCAGATCGCAGGCTTTTCCAATCTTGGTATAATTTAAATAATTTTTCTGATAAATATAGGATACTTAGAGAGAGAGAGAGAGAGTGTGTTCAAAGATTTAGGGGTTGTTTGGTTTAGATTATTTTCATTTACATTTAAAAAAAACAAAAAACGTTGAAGAAAACATGTTTGGTTATAAAATTAGAAAATAATTTTTGAAAAATAAAAACAAAAATAAGTGAATATATGAAAACATAAAAAAGATGTTTATAGTGTTTTTATTAAAATTGTTTTGGAAATTTGAAAAATAAGAAAAATATGGGATCTAGATTTTGACTTAACGTACATGAGTTCGAATCATTCTAACAATTTTTTTTTTATTGAATGTATCTAAAACTCTCAAACTTTTGTAAAAAAATCAATATGGTCCATGTTTTTTTACACTTAATGTAATCCTTAAACTGAATTTTTTTAATAATTTATATATTTAATGTATTAAATATCTTAATAATATGTTTATATTTTATATTTTGAAGTTAAATAATTTCTTTATTTTTCTAAAAAATTAAATAAGTCCTCAAACTTTCTAAGAAAATCAATTATACCCTCGAACTTTAGTCAAAAAAAGCAATTAAGCTCATTTATCACATAATTGCCTACCGTATACTACCATAACAATATCTTGAACTATAACATCAATATTGTAGATTGTCGTGTATGCTTCGTGAATTGTCATGTAAGCGGTGTGACAGTCAATGCTTGATTCCGTTGGTTAAAAGGTTAGATTGATTTCCCCCCAATTTAAGAGTAACATTGAGTGCAAAAAATATTTAGGATCTACACTAGTTTTTCTCAAAAGTTAGGTGACCTCAATTACCATTAAACATATTTTTTATTTTAATAACACTTTTGCGTGTTCTTGCTTACAATTGTTTTTTGAATTTAATTGATGTCTAATATGCATCAACTTTATATTCTTATTATAACCTAAAATAATTTTTGTTATGAAATTTCTCATCAACTTTATTGTTTTATATTTGTATAACTCGCATATTAAATTTATGTAATGATTTTTTTTAATAATTATAATTTAATTTAATTATTTAATAAGTATTTGTTCATTTCTATTTAATATATTTTTTTAATTTTATTTATGATTCAAGTTTTCATTTACATTAATCAAATATGTTTTCTAATTTTCAAAAAACTAAAAACGAAAATTATTTTCTGAAAATAAAAATAAAAAACATAAAATATCTTATAGAACCAAACGGATCCTTAACCTTTTAACGATTATCATTCATGCTATTATATATGCAGTACTCGAATACGACACCTTAAAAGATAATAACAATTTTTTTAAATAGAAGCCGCTAGTTTTATTAAAAAGTGAAAATTTAAGATTACAATAAGAGTTTACAACTATTATTATAAATTAAATACATGATTTTGACATTTTTCTAACATTAAAACTAGTCACTTATATCATAAAAGAACATACATGAAAAAGGTTTAGAATCTAACCAAAATTTTTGAACAAAAATAGATACAAACAAATTTAATTGTATCGACAAATAAACTAAAAGAGAGAATTAAGCTATTGAAAGACCACAGAGAATCGTAAATCAGAGCCGAGCGTCGTGAGGAACTATCCACAATCGTAAAACCGCGTATCCAAATTCAGTCCGAGGCTCCATAGCAGTAAATATAAACTGAATTACAAATAAGCGTCATTTTAATCAGTCATGACGTCATCAAATCAAACCCTAAAAAAACATAAAATAAAATAAACGGGTAAATAACCGAAAATCGTGCCACAAATATAGAGAAAAATGTATTATAAAGGTAGAGGTAAACGTGAGAGAAAGATAATTATTTTTATAAAAAACTAAAAAAAAATAAAGAGAGAAAAAAACGATGATCGATAATCAACATCAAAATTAGTATATTGTCGACTAAACATAATAAAAAAAAAATATGTTCTATAGAACACGGAGTGAAAAATGGGGAGGAGATTGGGGAGCAACTAGGTACATAACAGCAAATATTTTAACTGCCAACATTGTTTAGTTTAAATATAAGACATTAAATTTAAATATACAAGGTCTTTTTGGTATTATTTTAATATTAAAAAATAGTTCATATATTTTATTTTTTAACATGAAATTATATATTATTATGTTATTACATTTAATTATAAAAGTATGTATATTATTATTATTCAATAAAAATAGATAATTTGTGTGGATCGGACAGAACCAGAATGGTATCTAAGTTTATGAATAAAAATAGTTGTCTCTTGTTCCTATATGTAATGGGGTAAGGGGGAGATAAGATAGTAGGCTGTCCCCAACACTAGGTTGAGAGCAACTTCCGTAGGAGACATTCAAATTATGAAATACCCTCCATAAAACTCGATCCTACGAATTTAAAATTAAAAACTTTGCATTCTACCGATGAGAAACACGGCATTGCTTTTCTGACTCGGTTACAGCTTGGAACCTCTCCTCACCGTTCCGGTCCACCCAACTCGCTTCTCTCTAACCTACTCGCAGCCCACAACGCGTGCTTTCACTCTAGCCTCTCCTTTTCTCTCCACGTGCCTGTTAATTTACGTCGGTTTTTAAAATTTTAATTAAAGTTTGTATTTTTCATTTTTCTGACATTTTTACTGTCTTTTTGCTTTTTTGTTTTATTGATTTTAATCCTTATTTATCTTTATTTCTCTAGAAGATGATGATTTCTTAATATGTCGTTTTATATTGAATGTTTTTTCATTTTTTTTCTTTCTTGCTATATATACGAATATATAATTCTGTCTATCATGAACATAAATGAACCAAGTGATTAAAATTATGTTCGTATTTATTTGTTTATTTTTAAAAATATTTATATTTATTTAAATTTTAACTTAAATGCATCATTCTCCTCTAATGTTGTCATTCGTACCAAGTTATCTCTTAAAATATTTTTAAAACGTTTTGTCACGTAAAATTTAAATCGTTATATTATTTATCCCAAATCATTAATTTCATAAAAAAAATTATTAATTAAAACACACCACGTCACTCCTTAATCTTAATTTTCCCTTTTAATCTATATAAATAAAAAATAATATTTTAATCATTAAATATAATATTAAAGGTTAACTCCATCTGCCTCACCCGTCACCGTCGCCTCTTGATTTCCTCTATCGCCACAAATCTCCGCCTGACGCTCCATTACTTCACTTCCTCATAGATATGTGCCTTTCACAATTCATTAACATTGCATTCCAATAATCAAATCAAGATTTATCCATTAGCTAATTCCAACATCTTTGAAAAAAAAAACAAAGAAAATAGTACAACTTTCCCTAAATAAAAATCAAAATCCATTGAATCTTATTATCATACTCATCTCTTATTGAACCTATAATTAAATCTAGGGTAATACATAAGTTGTCCCTCAACTACAAGTATTACTTTGTTGAGTCCCTTAACTATTAAAAGTTACAATATGATCCATCAACTATAGGGTATTATTTTGTTGAGTTCTCCAACTATTAAAAGTTACAAAATTATCACGACTATCTATATGTTTTAAACTCGTCATTTTCAGTTAAAAGATTGGCGGTCATATGAGCTGAACTTTTAACTTGTTGATCGTGATATGATAACATTTCATCTCAAAACTGTTTGAGTTATGTTTTGTGGATTGACTCTTCGTTTACATTATGTCGTTGAGCTAATGCTTGAAATATTATATCGTTGTGTCAATTCTTGAAAGCAACATTGATGCTAGTAGACGTCATTAAGACATAATTTTATCATAACCCAATCAACATGTTAATGTTCGACTCAGGTGGTCATCAATTTTTAACGGAAAATGATGAGTTTGAAATATATGAATAATCAGGGGAGTATTTTGTAACTTTTAAATAATCGAGGGATTCAATAAAATAATATTTTATAGTCAAAGGACCATTTTTGTACTTTACCCTTAAATCTAATTTGGAGGAATTAAATTGGAAAACAATAAATTTAAGAATAAAATTATCTGAAAAAATGAAAATTTCTAGATAATGTCACTATATTTTCAAATATTATTTATTATTAATAAATTTATATTATCATTATATAATACTATAAGGGTGCGTTTGATTTATGGAATGTAAGATTATCAGTGAGAATGTTAGATTACAAGGGAATAAGATTACTTTGAATGTTGTATTTTGTGTTTGGTTGGTTTAGCAGAAATGTAAGATTACCTTGTTTTGTTAAATGAATAAAATATGATTGGAATGCATATTTGATCAAATTGTCCTTATTATATATTTGTTTTTTAACAAGTTAGAAAATATTTATATATTTTATTTAAAAAAATTAAATTCATAAAATTTATATATATATATATATACAAAATTGAAAATACAAAAAAGTTTAATGAAAGGGTAAAATTGTATTTTAACCCCTGAAC